CCTAACCCTAACCCTAACCCTAACCGTAACCCTAACCCTATCCCTAACCCTAACCCTAACCCTAACCCTAACCCTAACCCTAACCCTAACCCTAACCCTAACCCTAACCCTAACCCTAACCCTAACCCTAACCCTAACCCTAACCCTAACCCTAACCCTAACCCTAACCCTAACCCTAACCCTAACCCTAACCCTAACCCTAACCCTAACCCTAACCCTAACCCTAACCCTAACCCTAACCCTAACCCTAACCCTAACCCTAACCCTAACCCTAACCCTAACCCTAACCCTAACCCTAACCCTAACCCTAACCCTAACCCTAACCCTAACCCTAACCCTAACCCTAACCCTAACCCTAGCTGATGCCTCGTCATCCCTAGCTGATGCCTCATCAAGCCTAGCCCCACTTCATACCTCCCCACCGACCACCACTCACTTTACTTGCCAATCACAGCCTCCTGGCCACCCCTTCCCATCCCATCCATGACCCACATCCACAGTCCCACCCACCCCACCATACTCATCCTCCATCCCACCATGCGAATGGCTGGGCATGGGCTTGAATTGAGTCTTTGATGCTGATTCACTATCCCCATCCCTCCATTGACACTTGCCCGTGTCACTTGCTCGGCCGAGTGGCATGTGCGGGTTGTTGTTTGACATGAATGTCATTCAACATTTTCATGATTCGCCACTCGTCACTCGTTCGATTGTTTGACATTCAATTGATTGTTATTGATTATTGTCAATTGATCATTCGATTCTTTCTGCTTCTGTTCTCGTCGGCTGACCATGTTCTTTGTTCCTTGCCGTTCATGTTTCCGCATGCTTTGAGTTTGCTATTGTCTGCCTTCATGTTCTGCTGTGGTTGCTCTTGCCTTTGATGGTTGACTACAATCGACACGCATTCCCATTTATCATTCCTTTCGCTCTTGTTGTTGCTTTTATCATTATTCGTCATGCTTCAATTGTTCTTGATTCTCCTGTTTTCATCGACCTTGACTCCGACGTCCATCTTCGGCCCTTGCTCACTACACTATCGATTCTCAACTTTGTTGTCGTTGGCTATGGTCAATAGTTGTTCATGCAATGTATTTTGTGTTGACCCTGTTGTGTCGTGGTGGTGGTTGATCTGCAGATCTGATCGATCAACCGCGCCCTGCGTCATCGACCTGAACGTCACCCGAGTCCATCCCATTGCCTGCTAGCTTTGTCCAGTCCCTGTGGGCTTACTTTTACGTGTGCTGTGCAAGTCATGTATGATCTTTGGTTGTTGTTGTGGACGTCATTGCCTCGTTTGATGCTGGTTCCGGCTTTTCTTCAATTAATTCAACGTTCAACTCAATTGACGTCCGCCGCCTTCCCTCTGCCGGCCAAGTACCCGCCGCCCCTATCGCCCACACCCCACACACACCCATTAGCCGTATCATACGCACCTTCATCAATGCTCAAGCCCAATCGCCATATCCACCACCGCTTCGCCCGTCCCGTCACCCACGTCACGACCCCCCTCATCCCCCCTACCATACTCATTACCACCCGTCACCACAAACGACCACCCCCACCTCTACTCCACCACCACCACTCCCATTCCAGCTGCAACTCCCACCCCCATGCTATGGCCATACCCATCACCACCCTATCGCGCACTCGGCTTCCTCTTCCTCCTCGTCCTCCTCGTCTCTCCCGCTCCATCTCACCCCCATCCTCATCCTCGCCCACGACACCGCCACCCCTCAACCATCACCAGTCATGCTGCCCATCGTCCAACCAACAGCAATTTCGAGCCACCCAGTCCCGACCCAGCCCCCTCAGCTGCTCCGCCTCGCCGACCACCAGCCGCCAGCCGCCGCCCGCTCGTCCGTTCAGCCCACCTTCATCACCACCTAGCTCCCTCCCACCACTAGCTACACAACCCGCGACCACACCCAAGGTTTTCACTCGCCATGCACTAGCACCAGTATCAATATCGTCGTCATCGACACCCATCTTCCTCGGCTCATTTCCGCGTCGGCTTGTTTTGCCTAGGTGGTCGAGCCCGTCCTCGACCGCCCGACCTCGCACATGCCCCCCATCAACCTCATTGCAAGATATGCCAAATCGAATTTCACTTCTACTCTATTACACGCCCACACTACCCCCTTGTACAGTCTCCAATCCACAGCTGTAGTATTCCAGAATCCGAGTTCTGCCACCTGAGGCCCAAGTTATTGACCCTGTGTCCCTTCGAAGGTGCTGACTCCCTGCCGCGGGCCCATATCCGACCCCCACTCCCCACCATCCCCACCCACAATCACCACACTCACACCACACATACCCACTACCCGTACAAACATATCCACCCACTCCCTGCGCGCCGATGCGCACATTAGCCGACGCCATCCCGTCAACAGCATCGCTGCCGGCCGCCTGCTGCTCGCCGCCGACCGCCGCCCGCCGCCGACCGACCATCGCCGGCGCCACCGAGAGCAAGCTCGCCATCGACAGGGCATTGGAGACGATGCATACGGATAGCCACAGCAATAGCAATGACTACCAGTCTGCCCTCCAACCCAATCCTCCCCTCCCTCCTCCGGCCTTGCCCATCGCAGCCCCCGCCGGCCTGCTCATCGCCAGCCCTCCCAACTGCGATCACCGAGCCAGACGACGAAGCCTGTGGACTGGTCAGGGCGAGGAAGAACAAGAGAGGACAAGGGTAATCGATATGCAATGCAGTGGTGGGCTAGAGTGCAGTTGTCTGCCTCCTCTTCCAATCTCAAGCGATCGTCTTCATCGACGTCCATCTCAATCCAATCCGTCCGCCCTCCTCCCCCTGCCGCCCAAGTACCCGGCTCCCTCATCGCACACACGTCACACACAGCCATCAGCCTTACCATACCCATCCACATCAATCCGCACGCTCACTCCCCATACTTACCACCCTGTCGCCCGCCACGCCACCCACGTCTTGACCCCCCTTGTCCCCCCTACCATACTCAGTACGTCCGATCACCACAAACCACCACCCTCATCCACTGCTCCACCATCATCACTCCTATCCCAGCCACAATCCCCCCTCCCATGCCATGGCTCATCACCATCGCCAACGACACCAGCCTCTCCACCCCCGAGCCCTCCTATCCCAACCGAGTAGAGTGCACTGCCGTTTCCTCTGCCGTCGCTCGCCATGTCGCCGTAAATGTGTGTGTGACTGTCAGCCACAGCCGTCAGCCACAACCGGCACGTGGGCACAAGCATATCCACCGCTCTCCCTCTCCCTCCACCCACACGCACGCACACACACACACACTCTCTCTCTCTCTCTCTTGCCATGTCAATACCATGGGATACACTCTCGTTCCCCTCCCCGCACCCAGCCGCTTCCTCGGCATTGGTCGCGTCGCTCAATGACGTGCCCGTGGTCATCGTTGCCGGGACGGACCCGCTGCCGGCTCTGGCCTTCCCAGCCCGCGCTGCCACCGTTACCCACCCAGAGACAGACATGACCATGGGCATCTTTCCATGGCCTCCCCCGCTGCTGTGCCGTTAGCAGACTTTATAGAATCGCATCCGTTGCCGCTCGCCCGCGCGTGCGTCTTTGCCCAACTTGCTGCTGCCCTCGCTGCTCTTCACGCCTCCGGCCGTGCGCATGGCTCGCTTGGGCCCGATGCTGTGGTCGTGAACAACGCAACCGGCGACGTACACGTTGTACCGCCGCTCGACACCTACTCTGTCCCGCATCCTGCTGACCTTGTTGCACTTACGGCGCTCACCGAAACGCCTGACGGCTTAACGGCAAGTGACATCGTTGCCGAGATCGTCTCGTCGCTGGACAACCCGCTTGACATGCTGGCTGTACTTCGAGCCTGTTTCTCAGGCGAGTGCCCTGCCGACTTGGCCCCGTGCCTACCACTCGGCGACCTGTTTCTTCCGCTGGTCAAGGCGTGGCTCGCAAGTGACGCATCGCGCGCCATCCGCGAGCATCTTGTCGAGGATCTTTGTGGCTCGCTGGTTGATGACGCGCTGATGCGTCTTGACACAGCCCATGCTAGTCTTACGGCGATCTTTGCAGCTCTTGCCAGATGCCTCACTCGCGCCATCATTCCGTTCGAGCTTGCCGCCAACGTCAATGACGGCGCCGTCTCGATGCCGATCCTTGTCTTGGCCTGCAAGTTGTCGTCACATGCTGCGCTTTCGAGCCTGCCGACCATCCGGCGCCTCCGTGCCTACTTTCTGGCGCTCGAGGGCGAGCACCTTGGCGCCCTCGCCGTCTCTGCCCTGGCACTCTCGATCAGCCGCGGCTACCTTAGCAGCACCCGCCTCGCGGCGCTCTTTATTTCCGAGGCCGTCACCATTCTGGACAGCCTCCTCGCCGACGCAGTCGACACCGCCCCGATCAACTCTGACGCCACCTCGGTCCGTGATCTGGACATGGCAGCTCCAAACAGTCTGCTGCTGGTGGTCACCGAGGCAGCCTTCACATCGGTCCTCTCCCACTACGTCAGCGCGGCCGTGACCAATCCTGTCCCACTCTCGCTAACGACCTTGAGCCTATCGCTCGTCCCGTCGGTCCTTACTTCCCCGGCAGAGTTGCACACCGCCTTTGACCGCCTCCTCTTTATGACTCACACCATGATCCGCCTCCACCGTTTCGATTCAGCAGCTTCGGTCCTGGACGCCGCCAGCGAGCTGGTCACCGCTTATCCCGAGCTGGCGTCGCAATCCTCTTGTCTCGCTGCCGAGCGCGCACGCCTGCGTGACGATGATGTAGCCGCTGCTGCAGCAGCAGAGCTCGCTGCCGCGGAGGTCCGCGAGCACCGCGGTATTCTCTCTTTCATCCGCGCTGCCACTGCGCTTGTCGCCGGCGGCGAGCTTAGTGGTTGCTCTCTGCTCCACGACCCGCTCCCCGACGTCCTCCCGCCGTATTACCTTCGCAAGGTGGCAACCCGCCTTGACAGTCTCCCGCTTGACGATGAGCTTGCTGCCGTCCTCGCCGGCCCGCTTGACGTCGCTTCGTTTGTCGTGAGCGTCCTCCAGGCTCCGGCGCTCCAGGCGAGTGTGGCCGGCCCGCGGGGCGCGTTTATTGTCCACGATGTCTTCCACGCGCTTGCCATGGCCTTCCTTGAGCTCCTTCTTGAAAAAGCCACCCTCATCCTGGGCATTCCGCCGTCTGCCTTTACTTTGGTTGGCCTCGGCTCGGTGGCCCGTGGCGAGATGGCTCCGTTCTCCGACCTGGACATTGTGTTTCTCGTCGAGCCCGATATCGTACTCGCGCCTGAATGCCCCTCCCTCCCCGCCGGTGGACGGGATGACTACTTTCTGCGACTCGCACATCTCCTCGAGCTCTTCCTGCTCACTGTCGGCGAGACCGGATACCAGCTCGGGCCGGTCTCGTCGTGGTCGCCGCGCGGCTTCCGCCTCGATGAGGCCGCGCTCTCGCCGCTTGTCACACGGGCTACGCCCGCTTCGCTTGTAGCGAAGCAGCGCCGCGAGCTCATTTCGCTCCTGACCCCGCCACTCGACTCGGACTATCTTGATCCGATCGCGCACTCGCTGCGGACAGCTGCGTACATTGCAGGTGACGCCAATCTCTTCACCTCATACAAGAAGGCGCTCGACGCATTCTTTGATCGCCGCCTCATGGCCACGCTTGTCGAGACAGAGGCAGGCGTCGCTGTGTGTGAAGATGCCGCTCTCGCCCTCCACCCCGACACTCCAGTCCGCCGGGCGTATGCGCTCCTTGCCCTCGCCAAGAACACCGGCGCAGAGCGCACGTTCTCACCGTGGCTCGTCGACCGTGCTCTGTTGGTACCGGATGCCGAGGTGACGGTCGACGTCAAGACCGACCTGCAGCGCTTTCCCATGCTGCTTGTGGACGGTCTCGCGCTCTTCTTCGGCGTGTCTGCCGTCTCGACTCTCGCCCGCCTCGACGCGCTCTATGACGCCGGCGTCTTTAACGTTGCTGTTCGCGACGCGCTGGTCCATGCTTTTGGCTTTGCGCTTGGCCTTCGGATGGTGGCCCAGCTCGCGCGAGGCGAGGAGAACGACGTGCTTCTCCCAAGCATGGCGACGCCAAAGCTAGTGGCTGAGATCCGCGAGCTTGTAGCCAAAGTTCTCTGCCCCATCCAGACCATGGCCTCTCACTTTGTGACGGGCATGATCGAGACACTTGCTCGCGAGTCCAAGCCCGTATTCGAGCCAGGTACCCTTGTCCGCCTCCCTTTCCGCGACTTGGGGTACCTGACCGAGACGCGGTGGCGGGCGTCGCTCGATGACATTTCCGACGTCATGTACTCGTTTGGCCAGCTCGATCCCAATGCTGTGTACACCGGATTTGGCCTCGGTATGGGCTCTGTCACCTCGTGGTGCTCGCTCGGCATCTCGGCCCATCGTGCCGAGATGCCGAGGTGGCGCGACTTTCTCGACTCGCGCGATGCGTTCTGCGCCGCCGCCGCTGCCGAGGACAACGGTGCCTACTTTTACTCGGCTTGCTCCGATGAGGTCCGGAAGCTCCGTCCGGACGCCGTGGCGCAGCTCTTTTCTGGCTCCACCGTCACCCGTGCCTACGACCACGGTGTCCGTGCCGTTGCCACTGTCGGCAACTTTCACTTTAAGCTCGACCCGGAGCTGCCGGCCATGGAACTCGCGGTCCACGTCATCGGCCGGGTCCTCTTCCGCGGTAACCGTACGAACGCATCGCCACATCCCGGTGGCACCCCGCGGGTCGACGTCATCAAGCTCTACTTTGGCGCCGAGGCCCACTACTTTCTCGTGTCCGAGACTGTCGCCGGCCCAACACTCAAGCAACTCTGGGCCTCGGCCGGTCACAACGTCGAAAACTACGATGCTGCCCTCTCGCGAGTCGACACCCCGATCTCCTACGACCCGTTTTCGTTTACCCAGCAAGTATTGCTCGCGCTCGTCACCAATCCCGAAGACGGCAAAGAGGACAACTACGTGTGCGAAGCGGTTGACCCCGAGCAACTGGCCTACCGCATCGTGCCCATCGACAACGATCACTCGTTCGTTTCGGCTGTCACCAAGTCGGGCTTCTTTTCCAAGCGCATCCCGCGCCTCAAGTGCATTCTGTTTTGCATGCAAGAGATGCACGACGCCGTCGACGCTGACCTTCGCGACTACATGCTGTATTCGGTCCACGCGGACGCGCTTCTCGACGTCTGGGTCGACGTGCTCGAGGCCATCGACGCCCGCATGGCCTCGTTTGAGCTGCCGCATGTCCGCAAGGACATGGCCGATACCGAAGGCAAGCCGACACTCGACGTGCTCTTCAAGCCCGGCCTCGTCCACGTCCTTTACCACAAGATCACTCTCATCCAGGAAGTTCTCCGCGGCTCACGCGTCACACACATGCAGCTTTTGGGTGCTGTTGAGCACGAGCTCATGACCCTCTATGCACGCGCCTTCCAGGAGGCCATGAACCCGTGGGCGCGGTTCCACCTTCTCACCGAGTCACAGTACAAGCGCGGCCGGCGCGGCCTGGTCACGCTCACGCCCTCGCTCGTCGTCCGTCGCGAACAACAGTGCCGGGTGGTGACCACCGCCGACGAGCGAACCTCCTCGCTTTGGGCTGACCTCACCATGGTCTCACCGGCCGACCTCCGGTCCGAGCTCAACGATCTCGCCCACGAGCAGGCCGACGCCGCCGTCACCGCGCTCTTCTCGCGCTCTGACCTGCGCCCTTTCCGTGCCCTCCGCCTTCCTCTCTTCAAAGAGGCTTTTGTGGAGCGCCTTAACTTTGGCCTCTTCTCATTCCCGGCCAAGCTCCAGCGCGAGGTTCTCAAGGCCCTTGTCGGCACCCTCTTCCGCAAGCTTGTCCTTGCCCATTGCGTTGAGCTCGACGACAAGTCGCTCGCCCGCATCATCGGTCGCTGTGACCACCTGCAGTGGCTCGACGTCTCATACTGTTCCAAGCTTGTCACCGTCGGCTCGGTGGCCAAGCTCGCCGCTGCCTCGATTTGCCGGCTCGACCTCCGCGGCTGCGCCAACGTCCCACTCGCTGTTGTCGTCGACATTGAGGCCCGGTGCCGCTCGCTCTCGTACCTGGCCCTGCCCGAACAACTCGGTGCCGGCCTTCTCGACGCCGAGCACCACGTCCCGCTCGACCCGCGGTTCTTCCTCCACGGCCAGCCGGACCTGGTCTGGTCGCAGCTTGAGCCGCGGCTCCAGTTTGGCCTCTCGCTCCTGGTCCCGCCGCAAGCCCTCACTCAGCTCAACAAGTACGCCAAGCGGCTGCGGATGGATCTTTCCGGTGCCGACCTCCGCGACCCTATTGTCCGCAACGTGGCTAAGGTTCTTCCTCACACCTCGGCCGTCGTTTCAGTCAACATTGCGTGGAACCGCGTCTCTGGCCCGGTCCTCGTCGAGCTTGCGCAGGCCTTTGCCGCCAATCCGCTCATCTTTGCATGCGACATCTCGTTTAACGGCCCAGCTGCGCCCGACGAGCTCGCTGCACTTGCCGACGTCGACGCTGCGCTTGCTACTACTAACGCACTCGAACTCGAGGCCGTCGGCGAAGACCTCGACGCACTGGCCAAGCTCCGTTTGCGGAATCTTGTATGGAATGGCCTCGCCGACTCGTACCACAACAGCCTCTGCCGCAAGCTCCTGCGCGATCGATCGCCACACTTGCTCTACAAGTCGCTGGCCTTCAAGCGTGTGGCCCAGTTTGGATTCTCCCTCCCGGCGCCTGTCACCACCGCGCTCGAACTTGTCGACGGCCGCATCGTGCTCGGCATGACCAACGGTAGCTGTGTTGTCTATCGCCCGCCAAGCGATCTCCCGCCGACGTCTGCTGTCACCGAGGTGCTCTCGCCGGAAGAAGTGGCCGAGCGCGCCAGCGCACAGGCTTCCCGCGGCGCAGCCGCAAGTGCTCACGCCGTCGCTGTCGGCCCGTTTCCTGGATACGACTCGCCGGTCACTGCCGTTGCTGAGTCGGACCGGGGCGCGCTTCTAGTCGGCACAGCTGCAGGCGACGTCCTCGTCCTCCAGGTTGTCGCTCGCGACCCTCGGTCGGGTGAGGTCATCAAGTGGCATCTGGTGCGGACACTCGACCGCTCGACGTATGTGCGGTCGTCGGCCGGCAGCGCCGGCGGAGCTCCGAGCGATGAGCACCCGATCGGCCGGCGCGACCCGACCGTCAAGGCGCTTGTGGCCCTGCCCAAGAAGCGGGTCCTGGTCCTCATCGAAGGCTCAGTCCTTGACTACAAGACGTCGACCGGGGCACGGGTTGCCCTAAAGGCCGACCCGTCGCTCCCCGCGCTCGCGCAGTACCGATTTGCCGAGTTTGGCGAGCTCATCCACGCGCTGGCACCGCTTGCTGACTGGCGTATGGTCACAGCCTCGGCCAAAAGTGTTGTCGTGTGGCTCCTCCTTGCCGACGGCACCGGCTGGTCGCTGGTGGCAAGCGCCAAGCTTGGTGGCGTCACGCACCTTGCTATCCTTCCGAATCAGCGTATTTCGGCGCTGGCCTGCGGCGAGCGTGGCGAGCCGTTGCGGGTCGTTACGCTGGCTCTAGACAGCGATGCAAGCCTGCCCAAGCTGGTACAGATCCAGGAGATGCCTGCGCCTGGCACAGCGACTCCGCGTGGTCTCTGTGTCTCGGGCTCGGGCTTGCTCGCCTCACACTGGGCTGGCGCGGCCGGGAACCCTGCGCGGCTCACCCTTTGGGACTCGCGCGAAAAGCCGTTTATGGTCCAGGCGGCACAGAGCCGGCGTGTTCTCCGCGACACGTCGGCCGCCGCCGCATCACGGGGCGCCGGTGATACCGTCAACGTCCATCACGAGCAAGGCCTCATTCCCGTTCTCGCGCTCGATGTGCCTGATGACTCGAGCTTCCTACTCGTCTCCCGGCTCGCGCCTGTCATCTACGAGCTCGACGTCTCGTCGCTCGCGCTCTGGGCGCTTCGTGGCGCAAACGCTTAAACCCGTCGGTGATGGTTCACTTTGAGGCTCGCAACTACACGTCCGAGCGACCGCACAGCTAGTGGCTCTCTTGATATAGCGAGTCAACGCTGGTCAGCACCGTCGCCAGCGTCGGCGCCGTTGGCCGCATGCTTGGCGCTCGACATGTCGCCATCGACAGTGCGGATGCAAGCGAGGGAATGAGGTTGGCGTCGCCCCCAAGGACCAGCTCGGGTGGCGAATCAATCGCGGGCCCAGTGACTTCGGCGATAAACTCGTGGAGTGAGTGGTTGGCAAACGGTTGGCGGCCGTTGAGGAGCCAGATGGCGAGAACGCCAAAGGCGTAGATGTCGGCGGCAGGCTTCGCCCTTTCGCCCATCACCACCTCGGGTGCCAGGCAAATGTCCTTGGTGGCAACGAGCCGCGGCGCCGTGTGGGCCAGAATCGCCTCCATACCATACATCATGAGCTTGATGGTGCCTGTCGGCGAGACAAGGACGTGGTCCGGTGAAAGCATACCGTGGATGACTCCTGCGCCATGCAGTGCCGCGAGCCCAAGCACCATCCCGCGCAGCATGTTGGTCAGCATCCGGTCCGGCGAGCTGGAGAGAACAACGTTGTTGATGACCCTATCGAGCGGCGCAAAGATGCCCCATCGGGCGTAGACAAGTGACACCTGTGGGCCGAGGGTCACCGCGCCCACAAATGGCAGCAGGTTCTCGTGGCTGACAGAGTGGAGCAGAGCAGCACGACCACGGAGCGCGACACGCAGTTTGTACGTGACAGCAACTAGCGGGCGGACTTGTGCTACAAAAACTCGGTACGCCCTCGCATGAGCCCGATCGTCGCCAGACCAGCCCATCACCGTGGTCGGAGGCGGAACGAGCGTCCCGTTGAAACCCTCGAACAGCACCGAGTTAAAGTGAACCTGTGAGTTGGGCACCAGCTGGTCAGCTAGCAGGTGCCATGTCGCTGTTGCAGGCAGCTGTCGTGACATCATCACCAGTTCGGCAGTAAGGCTGCACACGACCGGTTTGGGTAGCGAGTCGGAGATCTTGGCGTCCAGGAGATCGAGCGACCGCGAAAAGCTCGTCGAGAATAGCAGTGCCGGCACCACCAGCATTCGCGCCATCATCTCGGCCTCGCGCAGAAACGCACCCTGCACGCTGCGATCGTCCATGACCGTTGCCGAGCCTGCTGCGCAAACAACCGCCACAGGAAGTTGCGGTCGGTCAGTCGGCGCCGGCCCAACTCTGGACAGTGCCAGTGATGGCACCGACGACAGCAACGACGTGCACGAGATTGCTGATCGAGACGGCGGCGTCAGCGGGCGCCGCATTGTCCGCTGATTCGAGGTTGACCAGCGACTCTGCCTCTTCCGCCGCCGTCTGCTGGTCGGGGGCTTTGGTAGCTCTGGCAGCTCTGGCATCTCTGGCAAAGCCATATCGCTCATCGGAGACAGCATGGGTGTCAGCGCAGACTTGCCACTCGACTTTGAGTGAGTCTGTATCTCGCCATCGGTCTTGGCCTTGGCCTTGGACTTGGCCTTGGACTTGGCCTTGGACTTGGCCTTGGACTTGGCCTTGGACTTGGCCCGAGACTTGGACTTGGCCTGAGATCCAGGACGCAAGTCAAACACCATGATCCCGGCATCGATCATAGGCGAGGTCAGCGCACGCGGGTCACTCTCGCATGAACTCCCCAGACTGCTGGATATCGAACGCAAGGTAGAAGCGCCTGTCACTGCGTCTCGCATAGCGCCGAAGGATTCGTTCTCCTCATCAGCCGTCCCTTGCTCGTCCGACACCGACTCGGTTTCGGTTTCCGAGACCGACTCGACGTCTGAGCTCGTGGTCTGACCCTCCACCCCCTCGTCCGAGCATGATCCACTTTCGAGCCCGGCTCGCGACTGCAACTCGGCTTCCCTTGGCAATGACTGCGATGACGACGATGGCGACGATGTCGATGACGACGAGCTGGATGATGACGACGAGCTCAACGACGATGCCGAGTTGTGGAGGCCGGCTGTAGTGGGCTTGGGAGGACGCCAATGGCTTGGTCCGGGTGTTCCTGAGCGGATCACGTTCGGAACCGGTGAGCCTGCGTTGACCATGGATGGCAGGCCTGCGACAGAGGCCGACGAGAGGATGTCGTTAGACTGCATCATTGTGCCCGCCGACGGATACGACGGCGAGAGTGCCGACATGGCAGTAATGTTGCCTCGCGAGAGGATGTCCGATCCGAGCTGGCTCGAGAGCTGCGGGCCCAGCTCGGTCGAGTTGACAGCCTGGCTACTTCCAAGCTTGAGGCCGCGCTTGGCGAGATCGGTCCCGTCGCCGACCGTGATAAGCTCCGAGGTGAGTGTGGCCACATCTGCGAGAAACTCCAAGGCGTCATTGGCCGAGCCAAAGACCGAGGTGTAGAGCAGCGCGTCGGCTGAGGTTGAGAAGCCCGAGTGCGCTTTGGTTGCAGCCGCCAGTGCCGAGCGCAAGTGCAGCAGCTGCGTGTCAAACTCGGCTACCTCGGAGGCAGCCTGCTCGTAAAATGCCGCTGCGTTGCACACGCCGACCGAGACCGAAAACAGAAATCCAGACTTGGGCACTACCTCCTTGTGGAACGGCGCAGGTGGCGTCCCATTCTGTCCCCCCGCTTGTTGATGTACAGTCGCTCAAACTGTGACTTGATCTTGTCGGCCGTCGGCCGCTGAAGCCCGACTGGCGCCCAGCATTGGCGCAGCAGCGTCTTGCACGCTACCGCGTCCGGCGGCAATGACGACGTCGATGGCCGCAGCTCGACATCCAGAACGTTGCGCACAACCGTCAGTGGATGCATGCCCGCGTACAGCGGTCGCCGTGAGAGGAGCTCCCAAAGCACCACTCCGAGCGCATACACATCAACCGCATACGGATCGCTGACATCGCCTAGTAGTGCCTCGGGCGCGCTCCAGAACGCGTTGTGAATCGTGGTCTCTGGCACGCTCTCATCGGGCACCACGCGGAAGAACGTCCACCGCCGTTTGCGCTTGGCCGGCTGCCTTTGAAGCCCGCGCAAAGAGACAGCTGTGGCCGACTCGCTCCGCGCCATCGATCCGTTCGTCTGCGTCCCAGACAGCGCCGGCTGGCCGGGCACGCTCATATCGCATTGCTGTGCCATCCAATCCTCGCCCGCTATCGGTAAGGGGCTCGCCGCCGCTGCCGCCGACGCTTTCTTGGTCGCCACAAAGCCAAAGTCGGAGACTTTGATGTCCCATGATGCGCTGAGGAGGACGTTGAACGAAGAGAGCGCGCCGTGCGCCACCCGTGACGTGTGCAGAAAGGCCATCGCGGCTGCAAGCTGCGACGCCCACAGTAACCGCCGCTCCCACAACAGCGCTATCGTCTTCTTGCCAAGGATGTCGAAGAGCGCCCCATTGGCCACATACTCGAGGACAAGCGCAACGCGCTCCGGTTCGGCGCTCGCGCCGATGAGCGCCACAAGGTTCGGGTGCCGGACATGGAACTTGATCATCGACTCAGATGCAAACTCGGTCTTGACCGTAGCGCTCGGCATAGAGACAAAGAACCGCTTGACAGCTACCTCGCTCCCACGCCACAACGCCACATACACCTTGCCGCAAGAGCCTTGTCCGACGGTCCGGACAACATCAAGATCGTCGAGCGAGACCGCGATGGTCGACGCCATCATCGCCCCGTCGCTCATCTCGCCCATGGTCGTCGAGTAAGCACTCACATTCCGCCGGTGGCTCCGGTCACCAATCCAGCCTGCAATCCGCACAAGTCCAAACGCGAGCAGCGAGACTGTCCAGATTGCCAAAATCGGGATCACAACAAGATAGCGCCCGTCGTTTCGGCATGAGGCTCCAAGCCATGGCCATGAGCACCGGCACGCGCCGGTCGCGACATCACAACGGCCGCCATGGGCACAGCCAGTCAGGACGCATTTTGCTTTGCGCCGAAGCCGCTCGTTGGGGCCAAACCATCGCACCGGGCTGCTTGCGCTTCCCACCGCTACCCGCACTCCGATCGTCGCCACCGCGCTTGCCTCATTTGTCCAGCACTCGAGCCGGCTGGTGGCTGACTCCAAGCTTGGCGTCCCGCCCGTCACATTGGCGCACGCTTCCTCCACCCCGCTCGCAAGTCTCAGCCAGGCCTGCGAGTCGTCGACAACGCCTCGTCCCAGTCGGTGGCCCTCCATCGCAACCACCACCCGCGACGAGCTCCGCGAGAGCGACGCTGCCACAATCAGCGGAAGCCCGGGCAGCAGCGTCAGATGTCCTATTCCATCATTGACCATCGCCATAAGCGTCGTGGGTCCATACGCGACAGTTGGCAGCTGAATCTCCGCACTCATCCCATCCTCGGCTACCGCAATCACAGTTGCGCTCGATCCGCCGAACTTCACAACCACCGCGCCCGCATCCGCACACAATCGCGCGCCATGAACCGCAATGCTAGTCCCGGGGCCGGTTGGACACACTGGGCTCGTCCCGTCCATCCGCTCCTCGCATCCGACCACCCTCTCCAAAACAGGTGCCAGCATGAGTGTCGACAGTGTCACTGCCTCTACCGCCATGCCAGGTGCTGTCAGGCCGAGCTCGATCATCACTTTTCCGGCCGGGAGGAGGAGACAGTGCGGAAGGATGTCGATGAGCGGCGCTGCTGTCTCATGTTCCGGTGCCGTCGCGCCAGGCGCACTCACATCGCGTATCCAGCTCCGTCGCTCACCGCCGGCTAATGTGATCGAGACCAGCATCTCGGTGCCAAAGCCGCCCGCCGGGACCACCGCTGCCCGCGCCGAAAAAGCCGCCGTCGTCTCTACATCAAACTCAAGGGCAATGCTCCCGCCACATCGCAGCCGGTCGCTGCCATCGGCAGCAATGCCACGCGCCACTGTGCACCATGTTGCGTTGCCGCTGGTGGCGGCTGCGGAAAATGCTCCGCTTCCGCTCGGACCAACCGCCAACTCGGGCGATACCCACATGGCCTCACCAACGCTCTTTGTATATTCTGCAAGCACACCACCTCCCCAAGCGCATGACGAAAGCCGTTCCTGTGTAAGTCTCACCCTCCACCTTCTTCCACACACCGCCCAGAAGCCGCCCAAGGCCTCTGGGTGGGTGCTGGTTGGCCCGCCTCTCAAAAACAATGATAATGTTGTTTGGTTGACCACACAACGACTGGGGGATGCCCGAAGCCTGTTCTTTTAGCCCGAGCGCCAACTTAGGTATGCCCGGGGCTCACCCATAAAACATACCTTGGTGTTTGGTAAAGTAGCTTGCCCCGGCTATGTGCAAGCACAGCCATGCCATAACCATCCATACTACACGCGCTCCCGCCATTGTGGAAGACGAGACTGGTTGTGTGCTTGGAGTGAGGGGGTGCGGGTGACCACCAGCTCATGCGGGGTCTGTTTGCTGACCGATGCGCCAATTACGCAACAGCCCTTGTCTGCCTTCTACGCTCCACGTTCGTGAACATCCACCACTCTGGCGCCACAACAATCATCATTCACTGCTCTGCTCCTCCGCCCATCCTTGCATCGGTGGATCCGTGACGACCTAGCCCAGTGATTGCCTCGTTTACATATGGTGGCATGCGACCGCGTGATGAGTACACCGCATGGCAGCGGCAGTTTTCCCAAGTGCGGAGCAAATGCATGGCATTGAAGGGCAGTGCCGAGATACAGCCACCATCAGCGCCATCATCACAGCTGAAGTAAATGCTCTCGCACATCTTGTCAGTATCTTCATTCATCTGTACCATGCAGCACGCTCTCATCGTTGCCATCGCCCTCATCACAGCACGTTGTCCGTCCACGTTATCCATTCAAGTCAATCAATCATGTTCCCGTGTCATACTACGCACAAACCAAAGTTTTGGCGATCTGTCGTCTGATTCATCATGACTGTCCTCGTCACCAAGCATTGCCACGCTATTCTCCATCTTCCCCCCCCTCTCTCCCATCACCCACTTCTCACCCGCTTCGCTTCCTCCGTCGTCTCTTATTTCACCCATCTTCCCGCACGCGCTCCCATCGCTGCTCATCGCCCAAACAACTGCCGGGACACGCGCACGCCGCCGGCCATCATCCCTCACTCAGACGACCCCCCCCCCCCCACCACGGAGCACACACGTCTTCCTCTCTGTCCTTCCCCTCGCCTTTCCTTACACCCATACTATGTGGAACATTGCTGCGGGCATACTTCTACTGTTTGCTGTCTCTGTAGCGAGCGGCATGGAGAGCTACGCACCGCCGTCGGAGCTCCACAAGGAGCTCTTGCCGAGCTACACGTGGAGTACTCCTTTTTCAGTTGGGCATGTTACTGCTCTTGCAGGTGCGATGGATCTCCTGCTGGGCAGCTCGGTCCAGATCGAAGTGGCCATCAACAGCGAGGCTGGGAATAAGGGCAAGTCCTGGCCTGTGCTGATGGTCGGTGACTCGTTTGACGGTTCCCTGAACGCTGCCTGCCTCGGAGTGCTCACCAGCTCGGGCTGGCCGGACATCATTGCTGTGAAAGATGGCACGGGCATCGAGTACTACCGCAACAACGAAGGCTCGTTTGGCGACAGTAGCGTCATCATCTCGGCCTCGCTGCAGCCGACCTGGATCGGTGCCCTCCAGATCTCGGTGCCGTATCCCGGTGCGCCGTCGCAGGACCTGGTGCTGCTCGGCCACGAGACCGGCGGGCTCAAGGCGCTGGCGTGGATGCGGAACACGTACGGCAACGGCACCGGATTTGGTGCCCCACTTGTGGCTCTGGCAGCACAAGCACTCAGCCCGCCGATCTTTGCCGACATGGATGGCGACGGGCTCGACGACATCGTCATCCACGGCGTCGAGACGGCCAACAACCTGCACACCGTCTGGATCATCCGCAACACTGGCTCCGGCGAGCTCAAGCCTCCTACCATGGCTCATCAGGTCCAAGAGGGCGTCACCATCACAGCCGTCACCGCCGGCAAGTTCTCCCAAGCTGGCAAGCTGACTCTGCCGGGCCTAATTCTCGCCACCTCGGTGAACATTGTTCGGCTGGAGCAGATCAGCCCGCTCCAGTTTGCCATCCGCGAGACCATCTCTGATCTCGACAGTCATCACGAAGTGGTGGCTATGGCCACCATTGACGAGGGCACGCTCGAGATCGACTCGATCGCCTTTGCCACTGCCAACCTCTCGACCGTCGCCTGGGCCCAGCGTCGCGGTAGCGGCGGCTCGTGGGTCGTTGACGTCCTTCCAGGTGAGCTGAACGGCATTGTCCAGCTGCAGACTGGCCGGATCTTCAACCAAGGCAGCCGTGATATTGTTGCCGTCACGGCTACGCGTGTTGTCGGCTACGAGGCCATCGCCGTGCCCTCGCCGCCACCGCCGCCGGCATCACCGCCACCGCCACCGCCGGCCCCGACGTCCCCGACCACCCCACCCCCACCGCCTCCATCGCATGGTGCCGGTGCACTGGTCTGGATTATCCTCACCGCCTGCCTTGTCATCATCATCGCTGTCACGGCCCTCATCATTGTCCGCCGAAACCGCCGCGCCGCCTATCTCCATGAGTCCGCCCCGCTCATCGACCCGCACGCCGGCTATGATGACTCGTACTACGCCATCAACGCCGCTTCACGGGCATAGCTTGAACTGTAACCCAGATCTGATACACACCCAGCATGGGCTGGCAGCCCCCCCCCCCCCCCCCCCCCCTTTACCATCTCCCACTGCTCTCATCATCATCATCCATCAATCAATCATGGCAGACGCCGAGGTCGACACACGCTCTGCGCAGCAAAAGTCTGCCGACGTTGATTTTGCGTCCATGGCGGAAGCAGAGACCACCAACTTTGACAAGGAGCGTGCCGAGAAGGTACGTATACTCTGTATCTACTTTCCCTTCTCCTCCTTCTCCGTACCCCCTACCAGTGACACTCCCGTGTCGTCGAAGGCTCCGGCTCGATCCACTTTGACCGACACCTCGTGGCGGGCATGGAGGCCGGGGGCATGGGCAAGCGACTCACAGCATGACGAGTGACATCATGGCACGGACAGGCTTTCCAGGAAGTGAACGAGCAGCGTGAGGCCGCACGGCGTGAAGAGATCATGCGCAAGCTGGCACTGGCACGGGTTCAGGTCGACGAGAACGACGTCCAGCGCCTCGCCTACCACCTCGATCTGCCCATCAACGACGCCGACACCCTCCTTCGCGAGCACAACGGCGATCTAGCTGCGGCTCTGGCTGCCTTTGTCGACACCTCTGTCGCCCCCAACCCGGCATCGGCCTAATCGCCCCTCTTTCTCCCTTCCCCTGCATCAATCGACGTCGGTCGGTCGCCATCGGGCCTGGATCGTCAGGCTGGAACAGCTGTTCCGCGCCCGGGACTATGGGCTTGGCCAGCTACGCACTCGAGTATCAAGCTTAGCTCTCAAGACATCGAACTCTAGCTGGGCACCTCTGCCTCTCCCGCTCCCTCCCTCTCCCTTTCTCCTCTCCGCGCTCCATCTGCTTCCGATCGACCGAGTCGCATAAACCGTGCTCCACCCTGACCACGTGCTCCACCTACCTCCTACACTCTGGCGGCTATCAGATCATACCAGACCGTGCTGTGTTGACCCCCCCCTCCCCCCCCCCCCCCTCCCCCCCCCCCTCCCCCCCATCGGCTGCTGCCGGTCGTCGGCTGTGGGCGGGCACACTTCACCCTCGCCCGAGCCATGCTGCGGCTGATACCTCGCAGCACGGCCATGTATATAGGACACGCACATACATGGGTACACGGCTACCGGAGCTTGTTTGCAACGGTTGCAGCAAGCAGAGCAGGCGGAGCGAGCAGCGCAGGCGGAGCAAGCAGAGCAGGCGGAGCGAGCAGCGCAGGCGGAGCGAGCAGCAAAAGCAAAGCAAGGCGAGGAGGCAAGACGGGCAGATCAGCGAGGCTGAGCAGGAGCAGAGCGACGGCGACGACACCGATGATGAATCAGTACATGGAACTCAAGGCGAGTGTACCTGGATTCATTCTCCTCTTTCGTATGGGCGATTTCTATGAGCTGTTCTTTGATGATGCTGCCCGTGCGTCTGCTGCTCTGGACATTGCTCTGACCACACGCGGCAGCCACAATGGCGCCCCCATTCCCATGGCTGGCGTGCCTGCTCATGCTGCCTCGCTGTATATTGAGCGGCTGATCAAAAGGGCTTTCTCGTCGCCGTCGCCGATCAGGTTGAAGAGCCGGCTGCCGCGCGGTCGCGTGGTGCCAAGATCGTTGACCGCGCCATCACCAAGCGCATCACCCCCGGTACTCTCATTGACGACGCTCTGCTTGCGCCGCGCATCGCAAACTACCTCATGTCGATCTCCGCGCCTGCTCCGCCGTCGCCGGCTGCTCCGCCGTCCATGTGCAGCCTCGCCTGGATCGACGTCTCCACCGGCGAGTGGTTCCTCGACCGGACGTCGCCGGACCTGCTTCCGGCCGACCTCGCGCGGCTGGCTCCGGCCGAGATTGTGCTCGACCCACAGCTTCCTCACTTGCTTGACGTCCTCCGTCCAGCCCTTGAGCCGTACTACGTCAACACCCACCCGCCGGCGCCGCCGGCAGCCGCTGCTGCTGACTGCGCCTCGCTCGCTGCCGCCCGTGCCGCGCTCGACGCTGCACCGTTTGCACCACACCACACTGCTGCCGGAAATCTTCTCCTCGACGTGGTGGCTGGCACCCATCCAGGCGCAACGCCGCTGTTGCACCCGCCGCGACTTTGCGCCCGCGACTCTATGCTTTCGATGGACGCAGCGACCCGAGCCTCGCTCGAGCTCACCTCGTCCTCGGCCGCTGTGGCGCCACCGGATGTGACTGAAGCCAGCGAGCCCGCGTCGGCTGTGCCGGTTCACGCTCTTGCGCGCAAGCCCGGGCCGACTCTCCTCTCGCTCATTGATAAGACGGTGACTGGCCCCGGCGGGCGGATGCTTGGCTCATGGCTCGCCTCCCCGCTTACCTCGCTGCCGGACATTGCCGCCCGGCACGACGCGGTCGAGGCATATGTCACTGCGCCGGCCACTGTCAAGGATGTTCGCCACATCCTCCGCGGAACCGGCGACCTCTCGCGGTCACTGCAGCGGCTGTGCATGGCCAAAGGCTCGCCGCGCGACCTCGGCGTCGTCTCGCGATCGCTAGCCAAGGCTGCCGAGCTGGTGGCGCTCGACGCACCGAGCCCACCGGTGCCACCGTCAGTTGTGGCTGCAACGTCCGGGCTGGCAGCCACGCTCGGTTCTGCATTGGCCGATACGCTCCCGATCTCGCTCGCTGATCTGAGTGGGCTCTCATCGGGCGCGGCGGTCGTTGCGGCGGGCTTCTCAGCCGAGCTCGACCGCAAGCGCGCTGCACGCGACGACGGCGCTGCGCTTGTTGCCGAGCTCGAGACCAAGTACCGCGACGCCACCGGGCTCGCTGCCCTCAAAATCCGCCACAACTCGGTGCTTGGGTACTACATCCAGGTCCCGGCCACCCGCAAAGAACGAATGGACGAGTTTGCGCCCGACATCTTCCACATTCAGTCGATGGCGGCCTCGCACCGCTACGCCTCGGCCGAGCTCAAGGACCTCGAGCGAGAGTTGGCAGCGGCGGCATCGGACGCAGTCCTCCTGGAAACCAAGCTCTTCGACGAGCTTGTCCAGGCTGCGCTCGCTGCAGCGCCGGCTCTGTTCGATCTCTCCGAGGCGCTGGCCGAGCTCGACGTCACATCGGCACTCGCCAAGCTGGCAGCAGACCACGGGTTTGTGCGGCCAGACATGACGCCCGACCCGCGGATCCTCGACATTGTCGGCGGCCGGCACCCACTTGTTGAGCTCTCCGGCAGCGGTCGCGGAACGTTTACACCAAACGACTGCGCCTTTGACGGGGCCACCTCGCTCCACCTCATCACCGGGCCGAACATGGGCGGCAAGTCGACGTTCCTGCGGCAGAACGCGCTCATCGTCATTTTGGCTCAGATGGGCTCGTTCGTTCCGGCCGAGGCGGCGACCATCGGTGTCGTCGACGCCGTCTACTCGCGGGTCGGCGCTGCTGACGACCTCGCTGGCGACCGGTCAACCTTTATGGTCGAAATGGTCGAGGCTGCAGCCATTGTCAAGTCGGCCACCCCAGCGTCGCTGGTGCTGATGGACGAGATCGGGCGTGGGACGGCGACCTACGATGGGCTCGCCCTCGCGTGGGCCATTGTTGAGCACCTTGCCCTCGCGCCGCGCGCTCGCACCCTCTTTGCCACCCACTACCACGAGCTGACCAAGCTCGGCGAGGCGCTGCCCAACGTGAGCAACTATGCCATGGATGTCCGCGAGCTCGCCAACAACTTACTCTTCCTCTACAAGGTGGTGCCGGGCGCAGCATCCAAGTCGTACGGCCTGCACGTTGCCCGGCTTGCCGGCATGCCCGAGCCTGTTCTCGACCGCGCGGCCGAGGTCCTGGACGCGCTGGAGCGCGCGGCCGACCCGCCGCCTCCGCAGAGCGCAGCGCAGTAAACGTCGCACCTCAGTCGGCCCCGCACTCGACGACAGACGCCACCGCAGTTGCTACTGCGTCGGGCTCGAGCCGCGAGCCTTCTAGCAGCTCGAGGTAGCCCTCGAGAACGCGGAGTGCCGCCTCGGGCAACAGCGTCTCGCCAAGAGACGCCGCATCCCGCGTAGGAATGCCGACAAGAATGCGCGACGAGAGACAAGCGACGTCGACGTCAAGCTCAAAGCCGGACGAACTCGTACCACCCTCGCCGCTGTTGTCAATGTCGCCCACGCTGGGGCTGAGACTCACATTCACGCTCACCCGCTGACGCTGGTATCTACCGAGCAGGTCTGGATCCGGACTAAGCTTGGTGAGCAGCTCGGGTGCGAGCTTAGCCAAGCTCGAGCCGGCGAGCGCGTATCGGGTCCCCGCCTCGGGCCGCTCGGCGACGAGGACCGACGAGACCGGCAGAGCAAAGACGCGGCGAGGGTGGGAGGAGGCATCCGCGTCGACATCACAACCCTCCTGGCCTTTGGGGTTACAGTCATCATCACTTGCGTCGACCACTCGTCCGGCCTTGGTCGACCGGCAGCAGCAGCCGCAGCAGGCGGCAAGCGCGGCGCGCATCTGAGTGCCTATCGACGGCGACTCGTCGGGCGCGGCAAAAACGGTGTACGGCGCAAGCATGGGCGGCGCTTCGCTCGGAACCATAGCATGGTAGACCGAATCACTCGCGCTGTGCTCGGCATCATCTGTGGCGCGGGCAAGATATATCCACATCCACGGAGTGCGCGCGGCGACGACGAGAAGCTTACCGACAACGACGGGAAGGTCTGTGGCGATCCAGGCACGGAGCCAAGCGGTGCTCGCGGTGGCACAGGCAACAAGTGAGTGACCACGAGTGAGCCTCCGCGCAACTTTGCGGGCAAAGGCATCGACAAGCGACGACGCCAGAGACGAGACAAGGAAGCCGCTGCCATCGGCGTCAGTGCCAGACGAAACAAGGGCAGAGTCAAGGAGCAGAGCAACAAGAAGCGGCGAAGGAAGATCTTGATGAGACAGAGTAGCAAGAACCATCTTTGTCGCAGATGCCGGTAGCGTCATGACCAAATGCGGCGGGCAATCGCGCGAGGAGGCGGCAGCAAGAGAGTTGCAAGAGTTGAGGAAAAAGGCAAAGATGAGTCCGGCCAACGAGTGCTCGCCGCCTTGGCCTGGCGGTGCCAGTGCAGGCGGGAGGCCAAAGCCTGCTGTCGCTGCATGCGAGAATAGCAGCTTGCCCGACGACGCGCATACAATGAGAACACCCCGAAGCATAGCGAG